TTCAATTTAGAATTCAAATTAATTTAAGTTTGACTTAAATTGGAATTTGAATTTGAGTCAAAATTGGACTACAGGATAAATGATGATTTTCTCTTCCTTCCCTATCTGATATTGGCACCACACAGGGATGAGAATCCCCTTAGAATGGCCGGCCATATAGGATAGAGGTAAAGAGGATATTTTGTTTCAAAATTTAAATAGGAGATAATTGACAAGCTTTATCTTGGAGATAGAGATAGGATTCATTCTAGAAGTTTGATTTCTACTATTTAAATATGAGAATAGTAGAAAATTGTAGACACAATTTTGGAAAACAATTTCAGCCCTAATTGTTAAGGCTGGCCGAAATTCTCAAGAGAGAGAGGAAGGAAAAAAATTTTCTCCAAAAATTCCACATCGTGCATGTGATGGTGTTTGTGGAAATTCGAGTGTTTATTGTAACCCGTTTTGTCTCATGTGTGCCCACACACACGTCTTCGTGGATTCTAGGAATTGATGTGGAAGACATTGGTTTTCTAAACACAAAGATTAGGAGCAAGGGTTGTTCGAGGTCAAAAAACTCAAGTTATCAACCGAGTCGGCCTCCAGGTATTTTTCCTAATTGAGTTCTTAATAAATGAATTAATGAGATTAATTTATTCGTGCACAAATTAATATAATATATAGAGTATCTCAAAGGTTTTATTAAAATTTTTGTTATACACGATCCGCCTCTTCCCCGCACCACGCTTCCGCATTCGAATTCGATTTGGATACCAACACCTTCAGCTTCAAATTAAATTATAAATTTGTAATTTGTAAATATGTATTTACTTTTGATATTGTATTTGTAACTGTATAACTTTATAAGTTTGTAAAATTTGTAATTCGTCACAAAATGATTGCACTCTTTTTTCCTTGCCAAGTTTTTATTCCAATTGGGTTTTTCTTGGTAAGGTTTTTAACGAGGCAATCATGAATTACGAATTTAATACATCAATAATATACATGATTAATTTATTCAATTGTGTTAATAATGTCTATTGAATGTTGATTTTGATTTTTACATAATTTTAACACAAACTGACTTAATAATTATAAAAATTAAAAAATATTTAAAAAAAATTCGGGCAAATCGGGCGGGCTCGGGCGGATTAACACAAGCCCGCGGCCCGTTCAAGGGGAAATTCGGGCTCGGGCGGGCGGCCCGAATTTTTCGGGCGGGTCGGGCTCGGGCAAAAACTCATTTTTTTCGGGCGGTCGCGGGCGGCCCGTCCAAAGTTTTAGCACTACTCCATTCTCTACTCCTCCTTTCTTAATTCCATAAAAAAAAAAAAAAAATCTAACCATTGATTTCAGTTTGTAATTATAAATTGATTATATAAAAATAATAATAATAATAATAAAACCTCCATTTTATCAACTATCAGTAAGTCACGATTAAAATTACATGACGTGTATTTACAAACTATAATTGTATTGTAACTTTCAAAACCTCGTTCATTTCACTGATTTTAGTTTAGAATTTAAGTTTTGCTACAGTAAAAAGTTATTAGAAATAATCACATTTGATTTTTTTATTATAGTAAAAAATCTCACATAAAATTACATCTCAATTCGAATTAAAAACTCAAATCAACGAACTAAATGGCTCATAAATGTATTCGCTCAAGTTTGTCATCTTTAAATCTATGTGGAGACTTTTTTTAATATTTGAATAAATTTCACTATAATAGCAGTCTATTATAGACTAAAACATTTGTAAATACAGACACGTAAAATAAGGTTTTAATTCAGCTGTCATCTTACAGCTTATAATTGACCGAATGAGGTTCTTTACTTTATTTTAATGAATTAAATTGATAACTTTGGCCTAAGAGGGGAGAAAAATAGGCCAATAGAAAACACTCACGTAAGTGATAAAATAGTTGGCTTTCCCTTTGGTAGGAGGGAGAGACAGAAAAAAGAGAGAGTTGGAGGAAGAAAGACGGAGGGAGAGCCCGAATACAGTATTAATTGGTTGGTTGAATAGGAGAAAGGAGAGGAAAGGTGGAGGAGACTCTCATCTTTCAAGCCACCATTTTACATCTTTTCATTAATGAAATAATTTATAAAATCCACCGCTTAAAAATTTTATTTATTTGATGGTAACCACCATAAAATATAATCATTAAAAACTCATCATATATTATATATTGTATATACACACTAAATCAAGTACCCTTTTATATCTCAACACGAGGTTAAAGAAAAGCGTGCTAGTTATCTTTGTTCTCTAATACGAAAACCCTCTTATTACTTTACTTTGTTACGAGAGACAAATTATACAGCATAGCTAGCGCGGTTGAAAAATATATATATATATATATATATATTTTTTAGTCCAAGTTGTGGCATTCCATGCATTTGGCTCAAACAGGTCTTAATAAAATAAAAAAATACTTAACTAATAATTTTTTAAAAAAAATTACAGAATTTACTCTTAAGAAATAGTGTATATATCTAAATTTGTACTCTTAATTTTTAATTAATACATTTTTATTAATATAGTTATTTAATTAAAAATAATGTTAATAAATAATAAGAGGTAAAATTTTAGACTCATACACTTTTAAAGAGGTGTTTTTCTCTTTTCCTTATAAATAGATGAGCACTTTTAAAAAATCACGCACATTGTTAATTAATTTTCAAGAAACATAAGAAAGATAGAAGAGACGCATTACAAATGCAAATATTCAAACAACTAGTGCAAGAAAAACGCAAATTACAAACAATTACTCATACTTCGTCATGCTGCCTGATCACTACTTCAAAACTTCAACCATATTTGCTAATCCATTAATTAGCAAACTCTTTGTCTAAGCTTAGGCCTTACTTTGAACGAGCTTCTCTATCAAATCAGCTGCTTCTTGAACCGTGGTTATGTTTTCGGAGCTTTCCTCTTCTACATTTATCCCAAATTCTTCCTCCAAACTCATTACTATTTCCACCTACACCCCCAACATATATATATATATTACATAACACACTCATATGATTAATTAGGATAATCTTGCGATTGAGTAAAAAACAAAAAACAAAAAACGAAAAAAACACACTACTTTTGCTATGCAATTATAAATCGTTAAATCACATTGGTGTCATATAACAAACTATAAATAAGTGTAAATTTAGAACTGCAGAATAACGGTATGATATTTTTTTAAACCATGTGAAAAAATTATCCTATTTATTATGTAAGTATATAAATTGTACTAAGAGTTTTAAGGTCCGTTCATTTCACCAATTCGAGTTTAAAATTTAAATTTTGTTATAAAAAAACTCTCAGAAACAGTTATATCGAACTTTTTTACTACAGTAAAAAATTTCACATAAAGTCACATCTTAACTCAAATTAAAAATTCAAATCAGCGAACTAAACGAGTCCTTAATTAGATAGAAAAGTTAGTTGGCGATGGAGGCATACAGTGTCAAGAGAATCGGCACCAAGAGCAGAGAACTTAGACTCAGGGGTGAGCTCAGTCTCGGCAGGCAATGCCAGTTGTTTCCTCACTATGTCACAAACCTTTTCCACTGTCTGGGGCTTGGCCTACCAAATTAAAAAGAAATTTAGTGTGGGAATCAGATACTTTTCTTCTTCTTAACTTATATATAAATACATAAAAAAAAAAAAGAAGGGACTTGTGTATACATGTATTTATATATGGGTGTCTACATACCGCACAAGAAACTCGGAAGCGGGAGGTTCTTAATGAAGGGAAGCCATTTTTGGCCCAACTCATAGAAACTATCGTCAAATTACAAGCCTTTCCATTCACCTGCATTATGTATATATATAATAAGCTTCTAAAGCTAATTTATTTCTCAAGTTTGATATATTCCGGACTATATATATGGCAATAAAAATAGAGATAAAATTGCCCGCTCTCCACCTCCGCACGTACGAGGTTTTTTTCTTCAAAACGAAGTCGTTAAACACCAATAAAATTAAAATGGTTATTTATTATATATATATATATGTATGTAAATATAACATAACTCGAGAGAAAAGAGTGAGCATGATAAAAATAATTAGAACCTGAGAAATAGTGGGGAAGGTGAGGCGGAGTGGAGATGTGAGGGAAGAAGCTGAGACGGTGGTCGGCATTGGAGGAGATGATGGATGGGAATGAGCGAGAAATGAGATGATGAGAGGGAAACAGAAAAGATGAGACTGAGTGAGTGAGAAGATGGATAAAGCCAAGTGAAGGAAAAATTATTTGTGAAGGTGGATAAGTGAGTGGTGCTTGTAGACGGATGCAAATTGCAAAGCTGCGTGGTTGGAAAGTGTTGGACAAATCCATAAGTGCACGTGATTTGCCGCTACAAGCCTTGTAGCCCAACTCCAACACCTACTGTGGTCCCACACCACATTTTGAAAAATAATTTTTTTTTCTTCATTAATGAATACCCTGATCAAAAAATTATATTAATTAAAAATATATTAATTAAGTGTAAAAAATAAAAATTCAAATCAACGCACTCTTAACAATAACTTCAGTAATTTTCTCTTTTTTTTCCCCTTAAGAGAAATTTAGAACTATACAAAAAAACCCAGCCTAAGACCAACTAAATAATTAAAAAGCTGAGGAAATGAATGAACAATCAATCCATAGAGCACAAAAAGACCAAATAGCCCCGTCATCACAAAAAAAAAAGAAAGAAAAGGGCAAACCGTCACTGCATTGTACAAGAAAAAGTAAATTGAGTTGACGTTTAGTTCATGTATTCAGAATTATTTTCGTTTTACGTGTATTTTTTGTGAGAAAAAAATATTATAAAGAATCGTGAATCATGATTCAGAATAAAAAATGAATACAAGAAACAAACATGAGTCTACATAAGCATAAGCCGTGATCAGCCCCTCTCTCGTTTAGTGTATATAATAATTATTTTGCTGTGAGATATGAACTCGTCTCACTTTTGATCACTTATTGAAACGACAAGTCGTTCTTAATTCAATTATGTTGTCGTTTGTTTTAAATGACATGTCGTTCTATCATTACTTTATTAACGACGCGTCGTTTCTTAAAAACCTTTTGTCGTTTCCCCCCTCTCCAAGACTCCAAGTTGACCATTCGAGTTATTCGGTTAATGTTGCTTCCTCCGGAAACTCAAATTTTAATGCAGCGAATGCATTGCTTCTCATATTTTTAGTCTCAGATCACCAGATTTTAATAAAAATACACACACACAAAAAAAAAGGAAACTAGAAATTTATTAGTTAATGTTTCCTGGTTGGAGGGTAAACAGTATCAAAAACAACAGTTGCAAACATTTGTTGAACCTCCGGCAAGCAACCCAATGCCAAAGAATCGTAATCAATCCTTTGCCCAATTTTAGGCACAGATTCCCTCCCTAATTCTCTTTTTATGGATTCAAAAATCTTGCACACCCTCAATGATAATGTCAATGGGATAAAAACCTGAAAAGGAAGATAAATCACGACTTGTTATGTAAGACCATTTGTTCACTTATTTCTTTCAAGTGGTTCAATGGAAAGCAATGCTAAAAGTGTTGGGGACTCACAAGGTCTGAGCATGGCGCTTTCCGAAATTTCATCATTGCTTGAGAAACATAATCAGGATCTGTCATCTTGCGCAACATGGCTTTGACTGAAGCTGCAAGATCAACGACCTCATTGATCAAGGCGTTCTTGGAGCGCGTGGTGGTCACGGGTTCTAATATCTCATGGAACGTCATCACGTGCGGTTGTGACATTGTCCTCACGATTTCTACAGCCTCTGGCAAAGATCCACCATTGGAGACTGCAAGGCTAAACGCAGCGATAACCAAGGGATCTCGAGGCTTGTCGTACAGGGCCTTGTGAAAAGCCAAGATAGCAATCCTGCAATTTTCAGCAAGTTGAGTTGAAGGAAAAGAGAGTTCTAACATTCACGAAGCCAAGTTGCTTAAAAAGTTCTTAGTACTTACCATAGGCTACTGTGACATGGTTGATTAGGTGCCACATATTTATCAAGGTTGGAAAACAAAGACTGCATAGTAGAATCCAAAATGTGGCTTTGTTAATGAAAACTTTCAAAACATTAGAGTGCAATAGAAAAGAGAAAGGGATAAAAAAGAAGAGAGATAAATAACATTATTATTATTATTATTATTTTTTTTTTTTTTTTTTGCAAACTCAATTGTTCGACCAGATAAAAAAGAAAAAAGGAAGTGTGGAAGTAACCAGAAGGAGCATCTGCACTTACCAAAAGCATGTTAGAACTCTCATCGCGTCTTCGAAAACCTTGGGAAGCAAAATACGAGGCCTGCATGATGTAACTAAATTGAAATATTCAGAAGAAGAGAGAGAGAGAGAGGAAAAGCAAAATATGAACTGGGGAAGAAAAACTGCAAACCTGGACGGGTAGAAGGAACTCTAGGAGCCCAAATCTCCATAATAACCTCAACGATGCCTCCGAAGACCCAAATGCTAGCATATAATTCATTTCCATGAGGATCCTTCCCTATCGAATTTGTGAACAAAGAGATGAGTAACCAAGAGGACAATAAGTTCATAGGAAAGAGGACTCTGTCTCTGTTACCTTATCAAGTCTTCTGATCGAGAAAGACAATTCCTTTAAAGAAAGTGCTATATCTTTAGTGAAATGAAAACCTAATCGAGCTGCAATTCTTATCCCACGTAAAATGCGAGCTGTGGAATCAATACAGAGAGATGGAAAAAGTTGAGTTGATGAGGCACCTCATGAAACCAAAAATAAGAACACTGCTAACACTAAATATAATAAACCACTCCAGATACAAAAGCTATACGCACCGCAGTCTTCTGCAAAGGAAATATTTGCTGGTATTACTGTCCGCATCTAAACAAAAAAAAAACCAAAAAAGAAAAAAAAAAAGCAAAGTTAAATGAACATTGAATGCCTCTTGTTCTTTTGAAAACCGAAAACATAATGAAATAGATGCGCACTTTAGATTTTCGAATATCTCGTATTCCCCCCATATAGTCATACACAATCTTGTCAAATGGATCGAACATCAACCTGCAAAGAATGATACTGTTATTGCAATGTAACCTTAATTTCAATCAAAACTGAGTGTGGATTGTTAAGGCTAAACATCCAAGTAAAAAAGTCTGAAGTACTTAACCCATTAATGGTGAAGTCCCTCTGTAAGCAATTCCTCCAACGAATGTAATCGTGCCTATTGCAGCCCGGAGGCCTTCTGAGGCTATCAAACTTCTTACTAGAATGTCTTTCACAGGTGCTAAAACTAGAAACCTATATAGTGAAAAGATCCAATTAAATAGTGAGAAGATTCAGATCCTAAAAGAAAGGGAAGAAGGAAGAATGAGGGGCAGACAATGACTTCCTTACAAGCGTAATAATCTATTTAGTGACCTATTTCAAGCATGCCATGCCTATAAGAAGTAATTTCAACAAGTAAGCTCGGTAGACAAACCTCCACAGTGGCATCATTTACATGAACATGACATATAGGAAATCGTTTTCCGACAATTTCACAACGGAGAAACGTCTTTTTTACCTGCATTTTTTTAATAAATCAAACATAGTGAATTGTAAATCAAATTTAGAATTCCCACATGATTCAAGTAAAATACTGTTAGTGTTAGCCTGTTAGGCATGCTCACTTATCATGAATAGAAAGGGAAAGGAAAGTGTTACCCTTTTCCTACCCATGCAGGTGTTTACTAACAAAATCAAGAATGTCAATTCAAAAAGACTGTTATAATGTAGGGAACGAAGAAAGGAAACGCCAATGCCAACTCTCAGTTACCGCCTAGTTTTGTTCCCCTTTGAATTATGCTATCTCAGCCCGATCAACTGGCTCTGGACCAACATATAGATCCAACCACAAAACAACTTTTGCAGCCTCCCTAAAAAATAATTTTAATTATATGCACAAAGATATTTTAATATTTAAGCTAAAATATCTTCGTTCATCTTTTAGGTAAGTAAACAATGGAAAACCTTTTTTTTTCTTTTCCCAAAAGTTCTTAGTTCCCTAACAGAGTATCATCTTTTGGAACTGATATCGCAGAATGTATCTGATCAGTGCTACAACAAATCTAAATGTCTTGAATATAGATAGAGAAATGACCTCTTTGAGTTCAGCTGAAGTAATAATATCAAAATCTTTCGGAGTTCTCTTTAGAATAAGATCACGAACACAGCCTCCAACAAGGTACACCTCATATCCTTCAATTCAACACCAAAGACGTCATGCAACTAAAACACACACACACACACACACACATATATATATATATATATATATATATAATACACACACACATGTATTTGTAAAAAGAAGAAATTTTCAAGACCTTTTTGCCTGAGGCCACTGAGAATTAATCTCGTAGGCTTGGGAATCGAAGACATCTTAATCCCGAGTTCTTTGGAACTGAGCTTCTTCCATTCAGGTTGCTTCTCCTTCCTATCTTTACTAACCGTAACCGGAGCATCATTTTTCCGATCTCTTTCTCCGAGGCTAGGTGAATCGGCGACTGGTTCAACCGCCGCCGCGGATTTGCTGAAGCAGCGTACCTGCAAAAGGAAATTAAATTCGATGCCGCCGTTTGGTTGCAGAGAAAATGAACAAAGAGAAAGGCAAACGAAGAGAGAGGAAAACCTTTCGAAGGCAGAGAAGGGAAAGACGGTGAGGAGTAGGAGCAAGGTGGCTCCGACATGCCAGTCCAGAGACGGCGAGCGTCATCGTTTGGCGGTGTAGAGTGCTTCACCATGTCATTACAGAAATGGCGAAGAAGAATCAAACAAACAAGAAAGATAAGAGCTTGGTGAAGAATAGAACGGAGATAAAAGGAGAAAATGAATTTAAATTTAAATTTTAAAAAATTCAAATTAAAACTTATTAAATATAAATTTAAATTGTAATCACTGAATTAAACTGAATTAAACTAATTAAATAAACGGAGCTGAACTTTAATTTACCTGGGAGTGGGACGACGAGACAAGGATTAGATTGTTTGCTAACTACTGGGTGAAGACTGAAGAGAGTCATGGTACTGGGCTCGCACGGCCCATTATGGATAGTTCTGGGCGAAGTTTAGCATGAATTCTGCCCATAAGAAACCCAGCCCACCTGGTGTGGCTTTTAGTAATTAATTTTAGAGAAATTTTAGATGAGTGAGTCATAAACATAAATTTTCTAAAGAAATATGCATCAAAATCAGATTTTCATATGTATCTCATCTAATATTCATAGTTAGTAAACAATATTTTTTAAGCCTTATTCATTTTATGACTCAAGTCACATTATTACAGTATTTTTTCTCACAAAAATTTAAATTTAACTTTTTTATTATAATATTTTTTTTGAACAAATACAATTTAAATCACGATGAGTTATGCAAATGAACATACCTTTAATATCCAAAAATCGTCCGAACTCACTTTGTGAGTCTGAGTTAGAAACTAAATCCGAAAAGAAATTATGACTTTATCATGTGAGTGTCCGTTAAGGGGATCGAAACCTTAACAAAACAAACTAAAAGTCTGTCCATCCAACCAACACCTAAGGAGTTAAAATTAGCACAATAAATTAGTACTCATAATTTAATTTAAGGCTCCGTTCATTTCGCTGATTCGAATTTAGAATTCGAGTTTTGTTACAGTAAAAAGCTCTCACAAATAATCACATTTAACTTTTTTGCTACATTAAAAAGCTCTCACATAAAATCACATTTCAACTCGAATTAAAAACTCGAATCAGCGAACTAAACGGGCCCTTTAACTTTTTAATTTTGCAGGAATTTTTTTTTTTTAAAAACAATACTAAGGTCTAAGAATCTCAGCTCAATTGATCCGTTAAAGAGTTGATTGTCTTTCATTGATTGAATCATTTTATTAAAAGAATTTTGCATCTCATTTGCCACACCAATTAGTAATTTAGGATAAAACAAATTAGTACAGGAATTAAAATCTCCAACATTATTCTTTCCATTCCCATTGGACACAGGATCAATCAGAATCCTGTAGAATTGGTTATTAGTTGGTGCTTAATCAATCCCCTTGATTATTTGAGCTTCTAGTCCTAAAAAAAAGGCTATATAGCTTTCCGTTGGAGTCCCTCCCTGCCACAGCACCATATATATATGCACAAGGAGCAAAATCAGAAAGAGGCATCAACTTTCAACTTTATAACAACATCCCAACTTCAACACCTCAAAATGGCAGCTTTTTCCCAGCATCCCCGCTTCTGCTCTTGACTCTTTTTTCGTGCCAAAGTCCTCAAAGATCACATGTCTGGCTAATTCAAGAAAAAAAAAAAAAAAGCATTTCCTGTAATTTTCACCTCAGATTTCTTCCAGGTGAATAAACTACTTTGTTAGAGAGACTTTGGCCCCTCCGATGCCATGTCCAACTCCAAATTCATGAAACCACAAGTGACTGAGTCTAGTCTCTTTCACCTCCACTATTCAGTACTCTTGTTGTAATGAACACTATTATTATTTACCCCTTTTACTATACTAGATGATACATCTTTACAACAACACAATGTCTTCATCATCATCTATGGAGAAGGGAAAGAAAACAATGATCTCTAAAGTAAGTACATTATCACTACACTAGGAGTTTATTGTTGTACATGTTGTGGTTTTTATTTTTATTTTATTTTATTTTTGGGCTATATATGATAGGAAGAAAAGGAGGGCAAATTAGGAAAGAAGATGAAACAAAGGAAGCAAAATGGTGGCAGCTTCATCACCAATTCAGAGGAGAAGAGGATCAAGTTGGATTCTTCTGATCATCAAGAGGAAGTTCCGAAGACCGATTATATTCATGTGAGAGCACGCAGAGGTCAAGCAACAGACAGTCACAGCCTTGCTGAAAGGGTATTACCAATATATATACATACATATATATATATATATATGTATATATGTATGTATAAATATAGTTCCTATATTTGTGCTTATGTTGCTGCAAAAGAAGTGGTTTCATTTTGAAACTTGGTTTTCCAGGCAAGAAGAGAGAAGATCAGAGAGAGACTTCAGTTTCTGCAGTCTCTTGTTCCTGGTTGTGACAAGGTGAAAAAACAGAAAATTTCATGAGCTTTGTTTGTTGACTTTTGGCTTCAATTATTTCATTTGTAATTTACACCATTTATCTTTGGTCATTGCATGTAGATAACCGGCAAGGCTCAGGTGCTAGATGAGATAATTAAATATGTCCAGTCGTTGCAGAATCTAGTAGAGGTAATACTACCATAATTCTTTCATATATTTAGGAGAAAATACAAATAAACAAATAAATAAATCCAAATACATCTTAATTTGACAGCTTCTTCCAAACTTCTATCACGTGTTCACTCCTCTAGTCACTACTCATCACTTTTACTATCTGCAGCGCCTTGCAGCGAAGCTTGCTTCCGCGAACTCCATGCTGATTGGCTTCGAAGTTGACCCGCTTATGAACACGCAGGCGCCAGACCAGGTGCCCTCATTAGATGTAAAAACTCTTCAGAAAGCCCTTTCTTTTTCTTAGATAAATGAGTTCGTCTAATGATGCACATCATGAAAAATTTTATCGTAAACATTGCGAGTGCATAAGTGTCAACATTCTGCAGATTTTGTCAACTTGAAATTATTGTTTTCTCCTAGCTAGCTAGCTGTTTTATCTTGTGTATCATTTTCCTTTACGGATATATCATACTGTTTAATCGCTTAACTTTACTAATATCTTTTCATTAAATCAATAGTACTCGCTTCATGTCAATATTGTTGACGCCAGATTATGTGAACAGGGGAAATGTTGCTTTGAACTTCCATTTCAAACTGTGTCAGAATCTACAAGTTTAACTCAGTTCAGTTCCTTTGCTGACACCACTACAACTACTACACCTGGTTTTGCATCCACTGAAATATTTCAGGTATTCGTACTTGTTTATTATAAGTTTGCACATTCATGAAAAATCCAAGTTCCAATTTGATAGTGAAATCTTTTTCAGGATTATGGAGACCTATTTTCGGGCTTCAACGGCCAACGCCAGAATATTGATTTTCAATGTGTGGATAACATGAGCAATTTCTAGTACCTCAGAAGACACAAAAGAAAAATATTGAAGACAAGAAGGAAACAAGAATGCTAAAGATCTAGAGAAATATTGATGCTTTGCAATCTAACTACTTGATTATAGTAGATTGTTAGGAGCAAAAAAAAAAAAAAGAGAGAAATTTCGTTCTGGTGGACAATAACACCAATTATATTGAGTGACTTTTTCCTCTGCTTTAATTTCTTCAGAAAATTTCAAGAGGTTCATTGTCACCCTACTGTTGTGTACTAATTATCTTCTGCTATTTCTATATTTTGTGGGTTATCTTTAATCTTCTTATTACAAGAGTACATTTTTGTTAATGAATTCCTTATCCATCAAAAAAGAAAATTATTGGCTGTGCCTGTACGTGTCACTTTTTTATCAGTGCTACAAATTATATAAACTATCAAATGCCTGCATTGCACCTAGGAACTCTTTTTCCATTATTGACAGAGAAACTCTCCTGCTTTGAGAAAGTGCAGGTTGTAATCAGTACAACATCGTACAACTGTGTCAGCTTTCATTTTATTCTTTTTTCATGTCTAATCAACATCTTGGGAAGAAATTGAATGATGTTGAAATGAGGGTTAGTTTTTGCATGAATGTGACAATTGGGAATTGGGATAGACTAGAAAAATAATGACGGAGGTGCATATGAATATACGATTCCAATTCAATATTTGACCCTCCAATTACCTCTTGTGCTAAGTCTGACATTATGTCTAGCAACAATAATGAACCCCAATGTACAAGTTTTCACGCGTTTCAATGTGAAGTCAAGATTTGTTACATTACATTGGTGAATGATCAAGATTGGAGAGTTCAAAAATTCATGAAAAATCAACTGAACTGATTAATCCGCGTCTAAGTTCTGAACCGACTGTTTTTGTTTTCATTTTTTTTCCCCCACCATGCACCTAGTAGTCATCTCTTCTTTGCATTTCTCATTTGTTTAGATTTTTTTTTTAATATATAAACTTTAAATTAGTCATATCTTGGATAGCGGCTGCGGATGGAATATTGGTTTAAATTAAAATTTCATCGGACGACGAATTGGTTCGATTGAGTTATTCAATGTACACTACCTAGATTAATGGATAGTTTGGCTGCTGCGAATTCTAATATGTATTGAATTGATAAAGGATGTTCAAAAATAAAAAATAAAAATCTTAAAACAGCCTGACGCTGTTATATAGGTCTAAATAATTTCTAGTTTGTTACCATTTGCTCAATAGTCAAAACTCAAAAGGATTGAGGCTATAGCAACACTTTTGAAATGTACTAGTATTAGTGTAGTGGCTTCAAATTGCCGGCGGGGCCTACTCATCAGGTCAATATCAATGCCAACTATGTACAGCCAATTATCAGCCATGCATATATATATATATATATATATATATATATCTATATGTGTGTGTGTGTGTGTGTGTGTGTGTACATATATCCAAGTCGTTTATTCACACATGACACGTGATATGGATGTAAAGGAACTAATTCTATTTCTCATTGACACCAAATTAATTATACGAAATCCTTTGTATGTACATTAGTGAGGCATTTCACAGGTAATGAAATTTTGTAGTGGAAACACTGGAACTACAAGAGTTCCTGTTGATTGTGTAATTAGTTCTTAATGCTAGCTCTTTCTATTTTTAGAATGATTGGTTGTAATATAATTCTGAACATATTTTTGAGTGAATTATAGGGGATTGATTAGTTGCTTAATTGGTAATCTAATTTATCTAGATTAATTGATTCACATATTATATTTTTAGAATTCATTTCTATATATACCTATGTATAATTATTTGTAAAAATATCAGTAAATATTTGAGCGACCGATCAATTGGTATTAATGTGATAATATTAGTAGCATTAATTTACTAAATAGCAATAGTACTATATTTTATAGATTGGTCTTAACCAGCTCACCAAACACATGTGGAAGAGCTAGCATATATATAAACATCAGGGATAAGTGCTAAAAAGAACCTAGCTAGCCAACTCATAGAACCATTTATGTATGCTGATATATATCTAGAGTCCTAGATCTTTGATTTGGACATTTGCAAGGGCCCTTAGAGTTTTTTCCATGTGACCATCAATTTACGCTTCACTGAATGTAAACTTTGTCAAAAGTCATCAAGAAAATTAATGTATATGGTACAATTTAGATAGCGACACATGGCCCAAGGGTCTAAAATTTTATCAATACAGACAAAGACAGCCTATATTGCTGTGGAGGACGAAGTTTGAGCTATTATGCATTGCATGCACTATGCATTACGCAACCCCCAACACAAACTTCCGCACTAACATATAAGAATTACGTGTGTGTCTGTCTCTCTATATACATACCTACTATATAATAATATAGGTGTAGTTTTAATGATTATTCAAATATTTATTTTTATCAATAATATTTATAATTGTTAGGTATTTTTATTAGTTGACAATTTATTGGTAATCTTGTAAAAATTTAAAAAATAGGTTCAAGAAGATTTCAAATTGCAGAAGAAGAATTCGATCTAGATTTGAAGTTAAAGTTGCATATTTTGTTGAGTTGAGATTTGAAGAGATAAGGATAAAGGCTTGGTCAAAGGAAGATAAGACATTTGTTGAGATTTGGAGAGATAAAGATAAAGCATTAGTTATTTGAATTTAAAAAAGGATTCTAGAATGAGATAAGGATAAAAAAGATTATGTTGAGATTTTATTGTGATGATTATCCAGTTTTTTGGCTTTTGGCTGGATTCGAATTTGAAGTGAGTTCGAATTGTAATTGAAGATTGATTTGGCCAAAGAAAAATCTATATATATATATATATATATATATTTTTGGATTTTACAGGAGATTAACTTGGAGCCAATGTGATATCTAAGTCATTGTATAGATATATGTGTGCATGGAGGCATTGACGTGGAGATGGTTGGAGAAGATTTTGGAAAAATATAAAGAGAATCGGAGCTTTAGTTTTAAATTAGATTCTCGTTATCTTTTGGAGATATTATTAAAGGCTTTAGTTTCAACTAGAGAGAATATGGGTTTAATAGAATATTTTCAGAAAAGAATATGTGAGTTTTTGTGAGCCTTGTGCGTTATTGAGATCGTCCTTAGGGAGAGGGATTTGTTGCTTTCGGGAGGAAGCTCTTTCGGTCGAAGGGAGTTCGCCGTGCAGTTAAGAAGACGTGTGGTGCACGTTAAACAAATCACTATGGAGATTCGTCACAGCGGCGTCGTTGTCTAGGAGGGAGTCCTTGAGTGAATAAGTCCGTCCAGTGTCTGTAATTTCTGGAACATAGTGAATTGTTTATTGTCTGGGTGTGACCCCGCTGAGTAGGTATGCGCACCGAACTGCGATATCATATTGTGTGTTCCTTTACTTTCTGCACTTTATTTTACTCGAGCAACTGAAAATAATTAACTCAGATCTATCAAGTGGTATCAGAGAGGTTCACTGACCATAAGTTTGGTGAGATCTTGGAGAGTTGATCTGTTATATTTGGAATGAATTTTCTAAAAGAAGGAGGTTCAGTTGTACGTTCCCCTTTGCTTGATGGTTCGAATTATTCATATTGGAAGGCCCGGATGAAGGCTTTCATCAAGACTCAAGATGAGAAGGCCTGGCGTGCTGTTTTGAATGGCTGGAAACATCCAGTAACTAAAGATGCAGAAGGAAAAGAGACTCTCAAACTCGAAGAGTCCTGGAGTACTGATGAAGACAGGTTGGCCATCTACATCTCTCGTGCTCTCATTGTAATATTGAATGGAGTTAACATCAACCAGTTCAAGATGATATCTACATGTGAATCGGCAAAAGAAGCACGAGAGATTTTGGAGATTACTCATGAGGGAACTGCCGCCGTCAGACAATCCAAATTAAATATTCTCACAACCAGGTTTGAAAATCTCCGAATGCATGAAAGTCAAATTATTTTTGAATTTAATTCACAGTTGTGTGATATAGCTAATGAATCCTTTGCTCTTGGTGAAAAAATTCCCGAGGCAAAACTTGTCAACAAGACGTTGAGATCTTTACCACAAAGATTCGCCTACAAAGTCATTACTATTGAAGAGGCGAAAAACACTGAGACTATGAGACTTGATGAATTGATGGGATCACTGAGGACATTTGAAATGAATCCAAGTCAAAATAAGAAAGAGAATGAGATTTCTCAGGGGATTACTTTTCAAGCCGAAGTGAAAGATAATGTTGAAGAAGAATATGAAGACTTAGTGGAGTCTCTTGCTCAATTGACTAAAAATTTCAACAGGGTGATGAAGAAGTTCAACGAGAAGAATCAAGCTCCAACTTTCAACAACTCCAACAATTTTTAGAAAAATAAGGGAGCTACAAATTCCTCTAATGATAAGAAGAAGAATAGGAGAATTTAATGCCGGGAGTGCAACGGTTACGGACACATTCAGTCTGAGAGTGCTAACACTCTCAAAAAGAGGAAGAAGTCTCTCAACGTCACATGGAGTGTGAGGATTCTGAAGACAACCAGGAAGATGAAGATCATGTGAACAACTATGTTGCGTTCAATGTCTACCAAGATATTCCAAACTGCAGTGTTACAGATCGTGTCACAACTTATGTTGCAACATCATCAGCAACATCATATGCAACACACTCTGGAAAACCAGAAGAAAATGAAGATTTTTCAGATTCTGACGATTCCAACGATGGTGAAGAACTAACTGAGCAGACAATCCAGGAGGCATATGAAAGCATGTTCAAAAAATGGGTTTTGGTGGTTAAAATGAATAAGTCTTTGTGGGAGCAAATCGATGAGCTTATTAAAGAGAAGGATGTACTTAAGAAGGTTGCTGTAAACTATGAATTTTGGGCTGTTGAAAAGGAGAAAAAGCTGTAGGAGACAAGAGTTGAATTGGAGCACACTCAAAAGGTATTGAAGATGATGAATTCCGGCACCACAAAATTGGATAACATTCTCTCGATAGGAAAAGCGAGTGGTGATCGACATGGCCTTGGCTATACTAGTGAGAGCTCAACGTCCAAAACAATGTTTGTAAAGAAGACGCCTTCGACTTCCTCTAGTAAGAAGCTTACTATCTTATCCCCTCGACATAGAAGGTTTGTCCCTGTAATGACTGAGAAAATCCCAGACCTTAAATAATACAATTTATGTATTTAAGCCAAGGATTTTCTTAGACAAATATTATGTGACTGAAGGATTTATGGAATTAATATATGTATTCCTAAATTCTGTAGCAGATTTCATGTTAAGTTCATGTTTTCGATCAAGTAAATTCGATCGATAAATTCTCGTCGTACTTTAAGGCGGAATAATTTTC